ATGAAACAACACTACTGGAACCCAGAATCACCAATGAATTACAACCCACCTCAGAGTTGCGATAACCACAAGTATCACAAGAGGCGGCCATGACAATTACTTCTTGGAAGTATGGAATGTCTGTATATTGTTAAGCTCATCAAATGAACAGTATTTGGTACAATTACCAAGACATAAATAAAGGAAAAAATTGTTGCCACAATTTTTATTCCTGACATAAACTCTGCTTCATATACAGTGTTAATCTGCCCATAAAACTCTGCTTCACAAAAAATATTTATTTTTACTGGAAAAAAAGTGCATAGCTCAAGAAAGACCAGCTAAAGTACAAGAACACCTCCTCTAACCTCCTAAGCATAGTTATCAAATCGTATATCGGAAGGCGTATCGTAAGATACAAATATTGTATCGTAAGATACGGTGCAATTTTAAATAAATAATAATAAAATATATATATACCTTTAAAAAAAAGTCATACACTCATAAAAACATAGCATTTCATTAATACTCCACCAACTATTCAAATCATCAACATAATCTACTACTATTATAATGCAAAGTTCACAACCATAGTTCACTAATTCAAACTTTAAACACCAAAGAGACTTCTAATCCAAATTTCTAACATCCATTTTGAACTTGATCTTCAATTTCAATTGAAAATGCATCATCATCATCATTGTGATCGGATGTCAACAAGTCTTCACTTCCTTCATCTTCAACTTCTTGTATTTGTTCATCCTCATCTTCATCCTCATCTTCAAGTTGAACTATTTGCTTTCCTTTTTTCTTGTTTAAAATAAAATTTCTAGGCCCTACAAAGCAATCAATACAAAATATAAAAAAAAAAAATTCAAAGTAATGGAGAAGAAGAAAAAACAACCACTACATTTTAATTACCTCTATTTCTCTTTTTGCTAGTCCCTTCTTGAACCTCAAAACATTCACCAACATTCATCCAAGCAGTGTCCTCAGGAAGTAGTGCATCTTCTTTTTCAGTGATCCACTCATCATCAGATTCCATATCTGAGAGAGAAACAGGATCATAGGAATCACCTTCTAGTATTCTCTTTTGGTGTCTTGCCTCCAATTGAAGATTGTACTTCACAAACACAAATGCACTTAATCTTTGCTGCTCTAATCGATTTATCCTCTTAGAGTGCACCTGGTCAAATGTACTCCAATTCCTCTCACATCCTGTGGCACTACAAGTCAAGCTAAGGACGCGGGTAACAAGTTGTTGCAACTCTGGACAACATCCTCCAAATGATTCCCACCACAAGGCTATAAAAAATTACAATAGAATACTCCATTAACTAACTTAAGCAATTGCATTCAAATAACTAACTTAAGTTAGGTTACCACTAACCAGGTTGTTTCTTCTTCCTCATCTGCATTGTCATGTCCATTCCAAACATCAAATCAGCATTATGAAAGATATCTAATTGTTTATCAACTTTTTCTCTCACAATAGGACTTGGGCACATTCTCTGAATGGTCAGATAAAGTCTCATTTTTATCTCATAGTCCGCACTACCGGTGTAATGAAACCTAAAATAGTTATTCTGATTTACAATGATCATTGATCAGTATACAATATATAGATATAAAATGATATAAAAAATGAGAAAATTAAATCTTATGCGGGATTGAGATAATAGGCAGCTGCGTGAAGAGGTCTGTGTAATTGCATGTTCCATCTAGTGTCAACAATAGTCCATATGGGCTCATTGTGTTTCTTCACATTACAAAAATTCTTTTGGATTTATTCCTTTGCCTTGTCCATTGCCTCGTAAATATACCTCATGGCAGGCTTTAGATCCCCATCTACAAGCCTCAACACCTTCACCAATGACAACACACACTTCAAGCAATACTTGATTGATCCCCAAAATTTTGGTCAGCTCCTATAATATCCATCACTTTTACACCATCTCCCTTCTTACAATATTGACTTCTCTGTCATTCCTCAGAAGCAAACATTGCTCTAAGCCCAATTTTATTTTCAAATAAACTCCTTAAAGTTAAATATGAGGTGGCAAATCTGGTCACACAAGCTCTCACCAAATCCCTTTTCTTTGTATAATTCCTCATAAGATTTAACACCCAAGAATGTCTAAATGTAAACTGTGATTTTCCTTACCTTTAACATTATATCCTTGTGTAGAGAAAGGTCCCCAATATCCGTCAAAAATGAGATCTAGGCAATGTGCAACGCCGGGAGACCAAAACAACTTTTTCCTCTTTGCCATTAACAACTTCTCAGCTTTTACATAAGCCAATGCACTATCAGTTACAACCTGAACAACATTATCCTCACCAATCTCTTCTACCATTGAATGTAAAAGCTCAAAAAGATTATCCGCATTCTTACAAATACCTGAAGTATCAATACTTTTAAAAAACACACTTCCTCTAGGACTATTCACTAAAAAATTAGTGATAGAGCGATGTTTTCCATCAGTCCATCCATCAGACATAAGAGTACAACCCGTCTTTCTCCACTCTGTTTTATAATTTTTCATCGACCCTCCATTAATCAAATTTGTTTCTTTTTTCAAAAAAGACATTTCACCTCATGATACGATGGAGGTTTCAATCCCTTGCCAAACGATGCAACAGATTCTAACATTATTACAAAATATGGATCCTTTACCAAATTAAAAGGAAGGGCATTAGCATAAAAACATCTACAAATATCCAAGCATACATCTTCCCTACCCTTTTTCTTCAACATGGTATTCAAAGTAATTGTGGTGGTTGGTTGTATTTTATCAGCAGTAGTACTACCCACACTGCCACTACTTTTCGAATCCACAAGACTCATATCTTGGCTAATTGCCCTATCATTCAATAATTGCTTAAAAAATTCAATTACTTCCTCAGGGCAATGCTTACACGCTGCTACATCTCTGCGATTACCTGCCAAATAATTTTCATTCTTGAACTGCCTCTCCAATAGACATATGCACAATGAATGCATTTGAATTTCAACCTTGATCCTTCTACTTTGTCACAATGTTCCCATGTGGGATCATTAGCAAGTTTTTTAGTCATTTCTATATGAAAATTGAATGCCGGTGATGCCACTGTTGCACAAAATTAAAATTAATCAAGATTAAAAAAAATTTATACAAAAAAAATATATATACATTTGGCTTTGTAAATAAATTAATATTATTTCTCACTGCACAGAACCAACAATCAATGGAGACTGGGAAGAAGAAGAAAAAGAAGGAGTACCTAGAGAAAGAAGAAGGTAGCGATCAACGATCACCCACAGTCGGAGACCAGCAATCACCCACAGACGAAGACCAGCAATCACCCACAGTCGAGACCACCCATAATCGATCACCACCCACAGTTGAAGACCACCCACAATCAATCACCACCCACAGTCGATCACTCGTCGTCGATGGCTAAAGAGAAACCAGAGGCCTCTGAGTCTCTGACTAGCGATGAGCGAAGGTCGAATATGAGAGAAATGAGGGTTTTTTTTTTTTGTAACCCTAACCACTAAAACGACATTGTTTCGGTGGTTATAGGGATTAAAAAAATAAAATCAGATCACAAAACGACATCGTTTTTAAAAAAAAAAAAATTTGCACGTATCGTGTATCGGATGATACAACGCAAAAACGATATATAACTACGATCCGTATCGTTTTAGGCCTGTATCGTAACATACCGTACGATACGTATCGCGTATCGTACGATACTAACAACTATGCTCCTAAGAGGATATGATCTAGCCTTCTAAAAGTGCACTACAATCAAGATCAAGCATTGCTTAATGCGTAAAATCATCTTTCGGACTGCCCAGCCCATACAAGATCCAACATTGAACCCCAGCTGCAACCCACCAAGATAACTTCCCAGAATTTAAAAATGGAACAGGGAATTTTACAATGCTTCCAAGTTCCCAAGCACAAAGGCAGTCTAATGTGGAGCATACTAACAAGCAGCATAATTCTGGAATTTTATGAATGAAACGCTTCAGAATGTCTGAGACAACGTTTAGTGTTATATCTTCTATGATGTTTAGGACTGATAAACCACTGAATTATTTTCTTTACGTTCTCTCTCTTTTGTCAGATATTTTAGAGGCAATTGTTCTTTACTCCTCCAATAATTGATGGACCTGTGCTGTATTTATAGGATACGGGTCATATGTTGGGTAAAATCAAGTTACTAGGTTGTCCTTCAAGTGTCTAGAATAGGCCTCAGTGTCGTGCGAAACAAAGAGTATCACCCTTTGTAATGGCACAAGCGTGTTGTACAATTAAAATTATTCTTGATAAGTAGATTTGACTATTTCTAGCTCTCTGGCTATAAATGGTCCTTTATGAGCTTTTAAAATATTTTCTAGGCCCTTACCACTGCCCCAGTCATCATTTTTCGCCGCTCAGCATTATTCCTTCTGGAAACATTCTGTATTGCTAATAGACACCCTACACTGCAAACCCATGGATCTGTACAATGGACACATTTGCAGGCACTCGGGCAAGACACACATAAACACGGAATGTATAAGCATATACACGAGCCTAGCTTACGTACTATGAACAAATGTGCAAATATATGTAATGTACACACACTTACATATGTGGGTGAAGCTTATGCGTGCCATATGTATGCATATGACACACTAGCTTACATGTGTGCATATTATTATGGATACATAACTTCCTATATCCAATTCTACACATGTATACGGGAGAAAGGGAGGGAGGGAGGGAGGGAGAGACAGTCAAGACTCGAGCATGAGCATGCTATTCTCACAGTGGTAAAAGTTATCTTGAAGATTCACCTCACGTTTGAAAAGGAGAAGGAAAACTATGTAACAGATTTTGGAAGGAATACATCTTCAAAAAACTTGAGACCAATCACTAAGAATAATAAATGGTTGGCCAAAAGAAGCCATGCAAACATAGGTCATTTTAAATGATCTGTGATATCCAAATTAAAAAAGGAACAAAACCATTCAGCCATGTTACATTTCAATGACAGCAAAGAAGTAGGAGGATACTGGTGACAAACATTCGAGTTTCACACCTGGCACCACAAGCTCCACATGTTGATGGAAAAGTCATCACCTATTCAGTATAATAGTGTGACAAATAAAATGGATTTGAGAAAACAGATGTAAACAAATCTCTTTCTGAAAGATATTGTACCTCTTCCGGTGCAGAGTAACGAAACAAAGCTTCAGCAATTTCTGCACTATTACCCTGAGCAATAGCTCGTTGACCTCCTCTTGCTCCAACTGATCCATGTGGCTCTCTTTTCAATTGGTCAGGGACTTGGTTTATTTCCTCCAATTCAGTGGTCACACCAGGTTCCCGAACTTGTGATGGATCAACAGCGTAACCTAATGATGCTTGTTGCTCAGGAGTTCGCTCGTAGAACTTAATAGTCAATGATGGGTCCGGAGATGGAGCTAACCTATTAGAAGTAAGTGAATTCTATTCAGACTAGAAGGAAAAACAACATATCTTTTCTAATCGAATAAAAAAAGAAGAAATAATTTCAATCATTTTAGACCGAGGAATCACAACAAGAATGACTCGCAAATATCAAAATGAAGACCTTGATTAAATTATTTTGTCCCATAGGGCACACACAAACTGACTTAAGCACTTTACTTTGTACCAGATGAAACTATGCTGCTTATCAAATTCTCTTACAATAGAAACCACACATATATTAGCCTGCACTGTGCAATCATTCCCAAAAGAGGAAGTAGGGGGAAGGCAAGCAACAACTATTTGTTTTTTAAACCTAACTCCACCTAAAGCATAAACTCATAGAACAAATAATCAAATTTCCAAAAACCTAAATTTTCTTTTAGATTAAGTGTCTCTTACGGGTTCTCAATGAAGCTGTTGCCAGCAGGATCATCAAGACTGAAGGTAAACGATGAATCTCCAGATGCGCAAGCTTTCAATTTTACCAAGAACATGTCTATTGCTTCAGCAGTCTGAGGATCCACTTCCTGGAAAGCACAGTAGACAGACTACTGAGGTACCCCAAGAAGGAGGAAAAAAGAAAATTCAGTGACATCAAACTAAGGTGCACCTTTCGCTCTACTTGTAGGGCTTGTAGTTCATCCACAGCTCTTACTAATATTCCTTCCACCTAGAAACAAATACAACAACTATGACTGTAAGAGAAGAGATAATAGTCTATTTAACATCATGTAAAAAATACGGTAACTAGATTGGAAAGGTAACAGAAGTTCTAGCACCAACTTGCTCAAATAAAATCATCAACTTGATGCCTAAAGTGCTCAGCTGCTCTAAACTAAGGCAACCTCCTCAAATAATATACGAAACCTAGTTGAACTGACAAATCAGGCAAAGGTGTCAACATAATTACTTTCAATAGCTAATCCAAGTACAAAGAGGACTAGCAGCTTCAGGCTTCTGTTCGACCAAAATCATACTTTTTGAAAATATTGGATATCAATTTAAAAAAAAAATTATACCAAAGTTAAAGTTAATGACCAATTACGGGAACAGAGAAAAGAGACATTATCATCCTATGGTAGAAAGAGCAGAACCTTTGGGCAAGCATCTTATCTGATATTCTTCCTTTGGAAATCACTATGGAGCTATGTTTAGTATTTGTGTATCAATAAGCAATGCCAAGAGCTCCACGACTTTCAAGTATCATGTATCAATTAATAAAGCAAGAACTTCTCTCACAATAAGAAGTCAATGATAGCGAGGACAAATTGCAGCTCCTTAACAAGGCAAAGGATGATCTCAGTTATTCTTGCAAAAAATGCTGAACACCGACTCCATTTTCAAGGTAACTTTCCACATATTGACCGACCTCTCATATCGATGTTTCCGTGAGTGAATAAGCCATGTGTGAGAGAGATACAAAGAGCATCAATCGAAGGTATAAATGTTTCTTGTCCCAAAAAATGAATAGAAAATGAAATAACCATAAGGACATTGTGTTTCTATTTTTGCTAGCCTCTTTATCACCTCTTGCAGCAACATAGAATTTATCAGACGTAATATTTAACAGTAAGATCACTAAATTACACAAAGTTACAGGAATGGATAACAATTTTGAACAAGACGAATAGCTCATGAACGTGAAATGACTTGATAAAAGGATGATGATGCCTTTGTTTTTTTTCTTTTTTTTTTTGGGGTGGGGGAAGGGAAGAAGTGGGGGAGGCATAAGTCAGAAATACTGCAGAGGATATGAATAGAAAGGCAAGTTAATGGAAGATACTGTTGATAAAGATCCACGCTGAGCCTCTGGAGGGATCTCAAAGTCCAGTTCAGGAATCTGCACACCCATACAAATTGCTGAGATAAATTGCAAATTCGTATATGTAAAACATGAACATTTTCACCATTGTAAGCATAAAGCATGAACACCAATGTCAAAGTTGTATGTTTTTATTTTATATCTCAACAGTTAACCTATATTTTTAATATTGTGTGTAGTTACATAATCTACACCTCAAGAGTCGAGATACATTTTACATTATCAAATGGATATAAAGGGGAAAATGAGGAGCAAAACTGATAAAAACTAATAATCATTCACAAGAGAAGTCAAATTTAAACATTCCACTTCTTGACATCTACCGTTAAGAATAAAGAAGGTAGTTAGAAGACTTCTTAGAAAACGGCATTCCAAGCGTGCATGCCATCATTTATCATGGCACAAGTTCTGCTAGACGAGCTACATCAACATTTATGAAAGAGCATTTCCCCACTTCACCCAACCAAGTTCAGCTTATGAGCAGCATGGTTTTTACTCAAACCATCCTCAGAGGCTTTCCTATCATGACACTATTCAGGGGAAAACTATATTAGAAAAGGGCAAAGCATCAAAATTATGAATTTATGCCAACAAAAATGTGTTCAAAGTGCAGCTTAGGCCATAGGCCAATAATATATAAATGCACAGACATTGCTGCAAGGTTTTTCTGAAGTAGTTTTCTGCATGCATAACATAGGAAAAGCTTTGGAAGCAGACACAAAAAAACAATCGCACACAGGAGCATAACAATTTGCAGCAAGATGACTACAAACAAGAAGGGAGAGAGAACCCCACACTTAATGATGCATTATGGCTCAAGAAACTGCATCCCACTTAACCCACTCTAAGCAACACCCAAATTTTACAGCACACTATCACGTTAAGCAATATATCCCAACCTGCCGTGCACTCAGGCCAAAGTCCCCAAATAGATAATTTCTTACAAAGAATTTTGGTATGCCCATAGATTGCAAAACATAAGGGTGGTTGCACGAGGCTCCCCTCATTGAGGGGTATATGGTAGGCGGTCTTATCCCCATTTTACAAGACCTCTCAAGATAGACACTATTGACGCACCTGTGAGTGTAAGAAGCTTTTACATTTCAAAAAATTTGTCACATCCTCCCCCCAAGAAAGAAAAAAAGACAACAGGAAACATTAAATAAAATCAGAGAATTAATTCCAGGTACAATCTTACCATCCTCCTAGGAAGTAGCTTCCTTTCTTCTTTTTAGTTTTTTAACTGGTCAAAGAGTGGCTTCATTTCTTCTCACACAAGAATGCACCAGAATTAATTACTTCAAAATCATTCAAATACACAAAATATGCAAAGCACAATTCAACACAATCCACCAGATTACCATCACCTAGTTCATTCAATGCCAACTCCAAGTGGATTCAATATAAGCCAGAGGTTGCTAAAGACGTTTCAAACCAAATCTGATAAGAACTAAAAATTAGAGCCACCTCCACTAGGGTGAACCAGAAAATGCACAAGCTGCTGAAATCAGTCATCAGTATGGAGTCCGTACTAATTTGCAATAGATCTTATATTTTTTGCATCATGTCTTAGTTCTTTCTTTTGACATATCATCTTGTGGCTCTTCTTCTTCTCTTAAAAATTTATACCCCTGGCCCCAGCAGCAGTGGCCCAGGCTGGATTTGATCTTAATATTCTTGATTCCATACAAAGTCACCTTTCAAAAGAAAAAAACTCATGAAACTCTCAGTTTAGAAATTAAAAACAACTGTGATAGCCATACAAATCCAATATAGGAATCAGTGAGAATTTTGTTAATGAGCATGGCTCAACTAAGGTTAAGGTTTTCTTCAACTGGAGCCCAGCGACGTACCTTAATAGTAGCAGTTTCTGATTTCACGACTTGACGATTGAACATCTGCATTGAAGAACTCCATCAATCTAGAACTCTTGAAGATGCACTCAAAACTTGGGTAAAGAGCTGGAGTGATCATAGAATTATAATATATTTTATTTCCACACCCAACAAGAGGAAGATATACAGTTTGCTAAAAAAGGATTACAATTTTGTAACAACAAATCTACCAAAAGATGCAAACAAATAGTAAACATATAACATAATAAATGTCGGCAAACACGATGAAGGAAGGAGCTTAGACGAATGTGAGAGTAACATTCTATAACCAAAAGGATTCTAAGGTAGAGAGTGAAAACACAGGAGAAGGTAACATTACTGTAAAACTACCCATGTTAGTAACTCCGTGCTCCAGGTAAAACAAGCAAACCCTCAATGAGATTGATAAATCTACAATTACAAATTCGGGGTATGGGGTATGGGGAATGGGGATGTTCACCTTTTGTAACAAATAGACCAATGATATGGACTAATAGATGTTCCTACTCTTTCCCGTAAGTAGATCTATTTATAGTTGGTCAAAAATCAGACTGGAAGACACCTCTAGTACATCACTTCCAAACTTGGCAGCCATTGTATCCGCCAAGGTAAAATACACATCTTAGTCAGCTATATCTTCTTAACAATAAGCTAGAAGTGGTGAAGACTGGAAAATATGTTTAAATATCTTGAGGGATATTTCCTCAATTCCATGAAAGCATAGTAATATGTCCAAAAACCCAGATTTAGAACAGCCATCAAAAAAAGATAAACATACAGATTTCATTATAAACCACAGTTCGTTACAATAGCCAAAGTAAGATTAATCAGCAACAAACTATTATCCACTCCAATTGCTGTGAGCTGGTTTATTAATCATGGTGCTACAAAAAACCTTTTTTTTCCAAGAAGTGTAACTAAAATCTTTCAAAGCAACATCTATACTCTAGGAAGTGGGAAGATATCATCCCTTATTTATGCTGTGAAATGCAATAGGTATTACACTTCTCAGTTCCATAGCCGGCTAGACCATAAGGCCACCGAAGCGGGCAATTTAGGCCCCGCTCAAGATAAAGGCCCCATATTTTTTTATATGTCAATAATAAAATTGAAATTCCTACCAAAACAATTATATAACTAAATTAGACTCCGGTATTACTATAAAAGTTCAAGCGTAGAAAACAGACCCAATTAAAATGTAAGCGCGTGAAAATAAATATAAAATTAGACTCAAAATGTCCATTACTAGTCACATTTGATATGAAAAAAGTCTTGATCGATCATCATTATTTCTTTTTTTCCTAAAAATGTGCTTTTGTCATGTAAGTCATACAGAATTGAGAATCGATCAATTCACTACTCCCCACCCCTTCTCTCTCTCTCTCTTTGAGCACTTAAATAACCTATTGTGCAGTATTGAATAAGATAACAAGATTAGAGTATTTTGAAAACTCATGCATTGTTTACAATGTATTATTGACATTACTAGTGATAGTTGCGTCTATACAAAAGCAATTTAACCTTCCTAAGATGATTGTGTAATAAAAAAGATTAAGTGGTTTAACCATACTATTGATAAAAAAGAACACGTTGGCAAAATTTGAATTAAAAGAACAAGATGAATAATTATTAATTGACAAAAGAAAAAGTCATATTTAAAGTTATCGCTGTAGGCTTCAAATTGTCTTGAGCCAGCCCTGCTCGGTTTTTTTCATTTTCTTTCTTTCTGTCTTTTTTTTTCTAGGAGTTCTCTGGTACACTATAAATATCACGTAAGTACATAGCCATGCTATAATGGTAACCCCTACTTTATATTAAGGCCCAAACTTTCAGTTACAAAATGACAAAACAGAATTATATGATACGATGTGCATAACTTCGTAAGATGATGTAAAGGGCTTTTGATCAAATAATACACTGGACTTATCACAACCTTTTGATCACCAGAAGGAATGTCAAGGCAATAATAACACCCACGGGGCTGGATCTCACCAGCAAACTGCACTTCATTGTTCCTACCAAAAGAACAAGCAAAAAACATTCAGAAATTACGAAAAAAGATCGATTGACCGAATGGAACTTGTAATCCTCGCGTCCTTAGAAAGAATTAAGTATGTACCTACCTCTCACCACAATGCGGACATTCAAAGGCGGATAACAAGACCTGCAGTAAACAATTTCTAATATACGTAGAGATCACTTATACTATAACCCAAAATCAAGTTAACACAATTGCGCATAAACTCACAAACAATGACATGCTTCAAACAACCAAATCTTGATATTGAGCACTAATAAATCTGGTGGTGTCCTAATTATCACAGTACAGTTTAACCATGGTCTTAAAGCTAAAGAAATGTGTCAATAGAAAAAATAAATTATGGAAATAGTTTACATGCAACAATTACTGTTCAAAAATTGCATAGAATGATATCTAATAGAGATTACGAAAGCAAGAGCATACCTTCCTAAAATGAGGAATCAACGTTAATAAAAACCTGGTTATTCCCTGTGAACACCAACCACAACCATGTAGATAAAACTTACATTAGTAATCAAACTCCAGAAATGAGCACTTACACCATTACATCTAACTCACTAGAAAAAGGGCCAAATCAAACCAGTGTAATAAACAAAAAATGTTAGAACAGAAATACACAACTAAAAGGAAACGATAGAATATTATTAAAGTGAAAAAAAGATAATAGTACATGAGGAGTCCTCAATAGATACATAAAAAGAAAAAGAAATCCAAACAAGTCAAACCCTTCAACTATACCTACCTTTAATAAAGTGTACTTGGGCCCAAATTACAGCCAACACTGCATATCTCCATAGAGCTTTGGCTTTTGGACTTGAACCAAAGCCATCTAAATTCATGCTAAGCACCAAATCACAGCTACAATTTTTTTTATAAGAAACAAAATGTTCTTTGATTGATCGCAAAGAGAGCAAAGTAGTGGTAAGTAATCCACTAGTACAAGAGAATCAAAACAAATACTTTGAAAATGTTACATAACTATCAAACTAAAAACAGCCTTTCATCTAGCCACATGCAGCGATCCAACCAAGAATAAGTGAAAAAAAATGGGATGCTGTTAAGTCCATTTGCAGTCAAGGCCCAAAGAAGTGCCAAAAATTCAAATCACTGCTACTTCAAACCATCCAAGGGATCCCCACGATACCTAAGAGTCTATTCCACAACTTTGAAACAAAAGTACAATGAAGGAACAAATGATCCATGCATCCCAAATTTTTCTTACAACGGATGCACCACTGTGGTTGAAGAGAATATGACGACCTCCTATTTTGAAGCAACTCATTAGTATTAAGTTTCTTATGTGCAATCAACCATGTAAAGATTTGTACCTTCAAAATTGTCTTACTCTTCCAAACAAAAGAAAAGGTTCAAAGAATGGAAGAGATATCTATTAAAGATTCACAAAAAGATTTGCAAGAATACGCACCCAAAGAAGAAAGGTTTCATCTTATTCTATCCAGTGAATCTATTCTTAAACAATATTGTCAAGAATACCCAAGAGAGAAGACAATTCAACCACTTCACTATCTCTCAAGTTTATAAAGAAATTAAAGTTCCAAGTATTGACGGAGGAAGACGAGGAAACCATATTAGTAATGGAAGAATAGTGAGACCTAGATAATCGATATAAATGAGGTAACAAGGATGCAAATGAAGACTCTTCCACCTAAATACCTTCCAAAAGCGAAGTTTCTCCCTATTACCAATAACATCCTTATAATTTTGAGAAAAGAGGAACAAACCTTGAGAAATGGATTTCAAAGGACATCAAGAACCTCCCCTCTCACTCACATTAGAATCTCACCTCTTGTTATGAATTTCATATTTGCTCTTGATCACTAAATGCCAAAGACTACTATGCTTAATAGGAAATCTCCGAATCCATTTACCAAGTAAAGAAATATTTTCAGCTTTTTGGTTATCCAATGCAAGACCTCCCTTAATTTTGAATCGAGACACCACATCCCAACTAACTAGAAATCTTTATTGCCCTCTCATTACCTTCTCATAAAAAAATTTCCTCATCATCTCAATTATTTTCTCTAACTTCAAAGACAACCAAAACAAAGGGCAAGTAGTAGATTGGAATACTACAAATCATCAAATAAGTTAGAGTGAGACTACCCCCTAGACAAAAGAGCTTTCTTCCACCCCCCCCCCCCAAGCCTTTAACCAATTTTGTAAATCACATGCTCCCAAAAACTAAAGGCTTTTGAATTCTCCCAAGGGAAAATCCAAATACTTTGGAGGCCACCACCAAAAAGAGCTACCTAAAGCATTAGCCAATCAAACCAACTTATTGTTCCACATTGATTCAAGCAATTTCACTTTTAGAAAAATTCACTTTAATGTCCGATACCATTTCAAAACATTCAAAACTGAAGCAATTGAGTGAATGTTCTTTTCATCCCCATCAGAAAATAAAATGGCATCATTTGCGATCACCTTGCCAAAGACGTCCAGTAGCCTTAGACATCTAGTAGCCTTAAAGCATTCTTTCGAAGCTCCATTGATAAAGACAAAGATATTCATTGAGTTAAAACATCTCATAATCTACTTTCTACATCTCAATTCAAATCCTTTTCTATTCACACATATTTCAAAAAGCCTCAATTCACCTTATCATCAGCTTTTACAAAATCCTCTCTATATTCTTCACCTATTTCATTTGCAACAAACACTAAATCTAAAATTTGCCTACCTTTGGATCCCAAAATAGTCTCGTGTAACACCTCCCTAATTCCCCTAGAACAGACTTTAGCCAAAATCTTATAAAGACTATAGAGACCAAGCAAATTGACCGTAAGCACTTAACCAAAGAAGATCTCCCCTTCTTGGAAATATGATAAATAAATGTGGCAGTGTGGCACCATTGCAAGAATCAACTTCACCATTCTCAAAGAACTCTTTAAAAACTTCCAAGAAATCTCCTCTTGCCTCAACACCACACTTTTAAGACATAAGCATAGTAAAGACATCATGGACAATCTTTGAGATGATGAGACTCTCACACTCAATCACTTCCTTAACTCAGTCTCAATCCAACTTCTTCTTCGTTTTGTCATTAGCAACTCTATGAAACAAGTTAAGAGTTACTATCACCCTCCTTAATCCACTTAACTTTCATCTTTTGTCTCCAACTTATTTTTTCTTCACCCATACACATTTTTCTCAAAGATCACACCTTCCCGAAAAGCCAGTACTCATTTTATTTTGCTGACAAGTAAAGAAGCCAAATGTTCAGATCATGCACTCACCCAAAATTCCAAATTCAAGCATCAAAATCCTCATATCCAAGTAAAATAACTACATCTCTTGGGTGATACCCACTGAAACTCACTTGCAGAACTTGGGCCCCATGTTCTAGTAATAGCATTTATCCCTTATAGAAGTACGGGTCCCTAATTCACAAATCCCACTTTAGGTCCCCAAAGAGTAAAACTTTCCCAATACCCCACCCCTTTCTTTGGTGAATGACTCATGCTACACCACTGATCGTACTTAAATGTCAGAGAGTATGCAAACAATTCATTTCATCCTCAGAAGTCGACATATTAAATATGTTCAAATTCATAGAAGTTATTTTGTGTCGTAATCCGCTCCCAAAACATGGTGTTCAAGTATTTTAATAAAAAAGAGAGTAAGGAAAAGCTTGTATTAATTGAAAAAACTTGATCCTACATCAGAAAAACTTCAAAACTTAAAAGAGTTTATACAGCAAGTGGCTGGGCAGTTATCTAAAAGTGAGTTGCAACTTTATCCACATCTCAACCCTGACGTACTTCAATTGCCTTAGTGTGGTTCAACTTTGACAGCTAAATTCTTTTTTTTCTTCCAACACATGGCATAACCTCTATAGTCAAACACTGAACTCATTCAATAACCAATTAACTTCAACTGTACCATTCAAACTACAATAGATGATCCAAGAATGTTTGCCACTACTTGGATTATTTGAAGGGTTGTTCTTCAAACATTAATCAATCAAAGTAGGATGTCAATGTAAGTGACTAGAATGAGAAGTTCCGGTGGTACACGTGTGTGCGTGTAGACGCGTACAAACACACACTAGCGGTCTTGCAATCTCTTCCCACCACAATCTCTACCCCCACCCCCTCCCTAAACCCATTAGCGAGATAAATTAGTTTTTTCAAAAAATATATAAATGTGAAGTAATTAACAAAAACGCTAAATGATTTTTATTTTTATTTTTTTTTGTCAATACACTGAATGATTCAAACATGGAATAGTCAACACAAACGGAAGAATTTCGTAGGACAAGACCAACGCATTTTTTCTAAATAACTTAAAATTAAGAGAATGTAAGAGAGAGAGAGAGAGACTAAGAAACTGACGTTTTCGCCGCAACGCATACAGAGGCTTTCGACCTGGTAGAGAGGGGCGTCAAGGCTGTCGTCTTCGGCGGCAGAAATAGCTTCCACCACAGTCCTCACATCCACGATTTCGTCGCCTTTTGTTGCTGTTGTTGCTTCCATTGCCGGTTTATTGGTGCCTCAACTCCACTCAGTGGGGGATGGTACAGGGCCTGTATGGAAAAAGAAGGTGTTCTTATAGCATGAATAGCGTTATTGAAGAAATAGCCCGTTGTTTGTCTCCAGAAGAATCACGAAGCCCTTGGGCCCCAATTACAGTAGGGGGAATTTTTTTGGGCACATTATATTGTGTCCCCCTGACAATGATAATTTTTCACATTACCCTCTAGTTTATTATGTATTTTATATTATACCCTAATTATGTGATTAGTTTTACGTCGTTTACCCTAATTATGTGATTAGTTTCACATCATTTCAATTATTAACGTACGTTATAAATTTGATAAATTTATTTTATTTTATCTCTTAAACTATATGATTTTTTTATTTTGTCCTAACACATTGACAATTTTGGTTTTGGTTCAAATCAATGTTATCAGAATCGGACAGATCATCGAATCGACTAAGGGACTGGATCAATGGTTCACTGGTTCAATCGGAGGATCAACTGGCCAAACCGATCATATAATAAAAATATATATATATAATAATTATAAAAACATCATAATTTAACTAAAAAAATATAAAGAGTAATCAAACTGTAACTCTCCCACTACTTCTTTATGCCAACCCAACAACAACCCACTCACAAATTCACTCCAATCCCTCATATCGAAAAGCACTGCACATATAGAAACTTCACAAAAAGGTATAAAGATTGTATCTTTTCATTTTATATTGAGAAAAAAAGTTCATGAAATAAATGCAGAAAAACAACAACATCTATTGAGATCGAGAGAGAAAGAGTGAGAGATCTGTTCACAAACAGTCATGGTAAGAATATATCTTTCACCAGATAAAAAAGAAAAGAAAAGAAAAATAGCTTGTGCATATTTTATGGCTAATGCATACTTTCTGTCTAAGAAAAACATAATTGTTTTTACCTTAATGTTACATTATGAGTTGATATAAGCAAATAAATGGAGGAGATAACAACAGAGATCAGGGGAGAGAGATCGCTTGAGTTATTTGCTAGTCACGCTAGTCGATGGTTGTTGCTCCCTAGTTGCTTATCAGTGGTCGTTACTCCCTAGTTGTTGATCAGTGGTTGTTGTTTCCTGGTATGTTGATCGCTGGTTATTGGTGGCTTCTGCAATTTAGGGCAAAGAGAATGGTTCATTGCTTTTTATTTGTCTTCAAACTGTCCGATTTTTTAAAAAATCACCAGCTCATGAATTTTTATAAATATCGTCCAATTTTATGATTTTTAACCGGCTCTTTTTTCTTATGCGGTCCAATTAGGAAAGGAAATTGGACCAATTAAGGTCTTGGGGCATGGTTGAACCGATCCGATTCGGTTATGATAACACTTGTTCAAATAGATAGCAAACTTTTTATTTTGAGATAATTTGAAATAATTTAAATAATTAAGGGGTAATATGAATAATTAATAATTTAAGGGGGAAATTGAAAAAAAGTTCATAGTTTAGAGTGTGAAAGTGTAATCTTCCCAATTTTTTGTGGGAGGGATAATTTTTGTTAATTAGTTTTATAAAATACAAAGAAACGCCAGAGAGCCGTCTTAGCTCAGCCGGTAGAGCGCGTGGCTTTTAACCACGTGGTCGTGGGTTCGATTCCCACAGACGGCGAATTTTTCCATATTTTTTCCGCCGTTTTAAATTTTTTGTTCCGATTCAGATTTCAGAGTACCTTTTTATGGGGTAAATAAATATATCTGACACTAACTTTGGTAGTATTTTCGCAACGAAATTTTTTCTATTTTCTAATCCTAATAATCATTTACCTACAAGTATAGCTAGGCTGAAATTTGACTCGTATATCCAAATATGACATTAATACAAACTAGTGAATTTGGACGTAAGTTCGGGCATTACATAGATGGATCCATTAGACAAATAACATAAATGAATCAAACATGAATTAAACAAATTTTAGTACGATAAGAGCTTAACATAACATGACTTATTAATAGTCCTAAGTAAGAGGAGAAAAAGTGTGCTATACAACAATGAAATTCGATTTTGAATTATGTATCGATTGGTGTTGCAATGTATGGATATAACGTTAATGCATCTGAGAAACTTTGAGAGAAAACACGTGTTTGAATTTTTGTGTTAAGTATGCTCGGATTTTTGCAATTGCCACATATATCTTACAAATTACATTTTATAATTTATTTACTATAAGTTATTCGACAATGCTCTCAGGTGGCTTAACACCGGCGTTATTCTTTTAAGTCCATGTTAAATGAGTCACCATAAAATAAAATAAAAAATAGTGCAAATGCACTTTATCTCCTGCTGTTTTAGAATTTTTCACATAATTCTCACATGTTTAGTAGACTAAAACGTAATGCTAACTTTGTTAACGGAAAAATTAAAATGACCTATATACCCTCATCTCTTTCTTCTAAATGACCTATGTACCCTTATCTCCTTTTTCCCAAGCACCTAACACCATTCCTGCTTGAAACTCAAAATCAAAACAAGAAGTGATAATTGAACCCAACTCTAGCGAACAACTGCGGAGGACAAATTCCCAACCCAACTTTAGTGAATTACCACCACCGCTATACTGGACTCACTTCGACGACCCACACACAGCATATATGCAGACACACTAAAACACACAGAACACACGTAGAAACGAACCAAAATTATCCAAAGTGAAGGCAAACAGTTTCAAATTAAAGTAGAAGGAAAAAATTTCAAATCAAATTCTTAGGTCAAAATCTATTAACAAAATCAGATTTAGTGGATTTTTGTTAAAATTTAAAAAATTAAAATTAGAACATCACCATTGTCACCAAGGCCTTCTCTGCACTATTATTGCACCTTCACCACTGTTCATCCATTAATTCGAGTCTACAAAGATGGTCAAGTTTAAAGATTTGGTGGGTTTTTGTTGGACTTTGGTCAATTGTAGTGGAAGATATCTGCATGTGTTGTGCGTGTGGGTACCAGGAGTGTGCTGCTTGCGTGTGCTCTGTGTGTGTTGGTCTTCAAAGTAAAGAGGGTGACTTAGACAGATCGGCAAAGGGACTACAAGAGAGAGAGAGACAGCAGGTGATGAAAATTTTTTAGGCGAGAGAGAGATTGGGTGCAGGTGATGAATTTTTTTATTTTTTTTTGGGGAATGATAGTTTAGTCATTTAAAAAAATGTTTTCAAGGCAAACTCTCAATTCTTAAGGGTGAGACTAACGGACGGAAAATATAATTTTGAGATTTTGTCCGCTAAGCATCTGAGGATTTTGTGGAATTTTCTAAGACATGGGGAAGTAAAAGTACATTTGAGGTACACCACATATGGTAAAGTAAAATTTGTCCAAAAAAAAATTGTGCACTATACTCAACATGTTTAGTATTTTAAGCCAATGTTTAGGACACGATTCACTAGTACACAACACAAAAACGGTAGGCTGTAGACTGAAGAACATACCAGTTTTTACTGCTTACCACCAATTTTGGTGTTTAATCAGAAACATATTCATGAACACTCGACAACACCGAAATGAGTAATGTGTTTATCAAAAAATATTTATCAAATGAATATAGATAATTAAATCAGTAAGTCCCACCAAAAAGTTAGTGGGACCTACTAATCTCATAGTCCGCACTGACTGAAAAAAAAATGGCAAGTGCATTATTGCTCAGAATGAAAAATTATGTGGTCATAGCTGAAAATTTTTGCTAATCATAATCAATTTGCAAATTCCGGTGAGAAGAAACCACAAAGAATGAGCAAAGATACTTTTACAATATCTTAAAAAATTAAATCAAATGGCATGTAAATTTGCTCTCTTCCTCTTCTTTGACTTTTTGCTATGAAATTTTGTTTTCTTTTTTGACAAATCGACAGATAATTTCTGTTTCTTGCTCGGCTCTTTGGGATGCACTGCCTCTGTTTTGAAATCTCCTACAGAGGGAGTGTCATTCATAGAACCATCTTCATCCTCATCCGACGTAAGAATCAAGTCCCCCACGACATCTTCATCCATAGCTGACTCTTCATGGAGCTCTTTCAGTCTCTTCTTTTTCTTCCTCTTCTCATCTTTAAGCTGCTTGGTCCTACATGGCAATACCTCCTAATTAAGTCACTATACAAGAATGAAGACAAGATAGCATGAGAGAGAGAGAGAGAGAAAGACTATATAACCGTACTTGTAATCACGTCCTGGTAACCAAGCGGAACTGAAGACAGTAGCACCTGCTTCATTCCTAGTATCGTCATCATCAGCATCATCATCACGATCAATACCTGGTGTCTTCTTTCCAAAGATGGAAGATTGTTCGCCCACCAGTACACTGAAATTTCCATGTCCATTGTAAATTGGCAACTTGAACACAATGATCTAAAGATAATAGATTAGAATCAAAAACACTTTTATGAACCTTGATTCCTTCAAAGAGTCATTTCTTTGCTGCACTCTCTGGCGTAAAGTTGCAACATATTGCGATAACGGGCTAGCCCCGACCATTTTCTCATCCTATGATGACATAAAAGCTATGTAAGATTCGCCAAGACAGAATATCAAGCAGAATGCAAGCAAAATAAGAAACCAGTTGTTTAACCAAATCAACTCTCTGAGTATGTTCTTATGTAAAATTGTCCAGAAAAAAATTGCCACAAAACAAGTCATGTTGCCTAGGCACTTTTTTATGAAAAATGGGAAGAAGACGATGATGTTGCTCAGACACTTCATTTCATCTTTGGGTCTGGAAAAAGATTGGAGAGTTCAACAATTTAGCCATGTCACATTGTCTCTACATTTTGTAGACTAAAATGATCTGAAACCTAACATATCCACACCCAACAGGGACTTTGTTGCCACCCACAAACCATGTCTCCACTATTTCTCCCAAACCATTGAATGATCTCAAAGATTACATAAAACCCAAATCAGTGACCAGTCATCATGATGAAATACATCACATTTTACTTATATGAAAAAAGGATTACCACACTCTTGCTCGGGTAAGTCTGTATTCTGTATCTTCGTCAACTCCTTGGGTTCAATGGCCATTTTAACTCATTGGTTATAGATACTATGTTACTTCAGCTAGTACCAATTGATGGGAAAGAATATTTGGGGACTAATACAGCAATCAACATTTTCAAGATTCCAAGAGATATTTGCTTTCCAATAGTCTAAAATGGACAAACTAGTAATTTTGCAGCCTATGGCTCTCCCAATTCAATTATCCCGCTTGATAGCAAAGTGAAAATTTGCATCAGCTGACAACATAGTTCATTACAAAAAAAAGAATAGGAAACATAAATGTGCAAACCTCAAGGAAAGATGATGCTGCAGGATCATTTGGTAAAAACGAAACTGACATTCGTTTTTCATTGGTAAACTTAGAATTGGCGTCAATCTGTGAGATGAAAGAGTTGAAACATTAATGATTGGAACCATAGGCTTTGATGCAAGTCCAATGCATTGACTTGGTCATAAAACAGTCTGATCAAGCGCAAGATCATGTATGTTTCTATAAATAACATTAACCCACTAAAAAACGTTTAGCTGAAGTCAGCTTTAGTATCGCTGACTGCTAACCGGTCTTAAAGATATACCTGATGAATGAGCTGCCTCATTTCTCGACGGAACCTCTCGACTTTTGTGGATTTGCAGAAGTTACGCAGCCGAACAGCAGGAACAAAGGACAGCTCAAAGAAAGCAACAGAATAGCTCCATTGAGCTAGATGTTCACTAAGACTTTCAATCACCGAAAAAACACAAGCCTCCTGAAATGATCGAGTCTTTAAGGTTGGTTTGCTTACCTGTCATATGCAATACCAGAGATACAAACAATAAAGTTGCTGCATTGAAATCAACAAAGAATGAGAAAATCACATTTTATAGTACCTTTAGTGCAGCAAGCAAATCAACAGCTTTGCCAACACCTCCTGTTGGCGGCCTATTCAATTCTTTCATCTCCAGCATGTCCAAGAGGGGCAAAGAAACAGGAATAAATGTACCAGAGGAAGCAGCAATGCGGTTTAGCATCCTAACACAACGCAATCTAAGGGGGAAATATCGAGCAGTTGGAACTAAACGAGCAACCCCAGAAATTATTTGAGTCAGTGGATATGCAAGGGGCCTAAAATCAGCTTCTGAACTATAGGCACAGATAGCTCCAGTCCAAAGCTCAAGGCAATTCATATACTTCCATTCATAAACCTTTCTGAATGCTTCCTGCAGAACAGACAGGAAAGAGTAGCATTGAAAATAAATGTACTATGGGCATCAATCTTCTGGAAGTCAAGGATCATAGGCACTAAATGTGTTTTAGATTAGTATACAGCAGTAAAGCAACTAGCTTCTCTTTCATGAAAGTGAAAACTTGGCTGCATATTTGCCGCTTTGAAACTATGCTTTCATCAACTAATTACACAACAAAATAAAAAAATGAAGAGCTGATGAGAAATGTATAGAAGATGATCTTCCATAGGCAAAACTAAAAGGCACGTCAGTACTGAAGGAACGAAGAACTTAAAAGCATGAAAGATCCTATGGAAAAAAGATGTGACTAACAACGAAAACACTAAATATCCTAGGACATCATTAGAAGTAGAACCTTTGTTCTCGTGTTCAGTGCCTTCCGCAAAATATTTGCTAACTGCCGTATGAAAACAAAGGCATGTTGATATGCAGCCGGAAGATCCACCCCAAGAAGTTCAGTGATACAATTCCCAAGAAACTGAATGTGATGTAACTTGGTTGCATTGACAAATTGGCAGTTCAAGACATAGGCTTTGTATATTCCTTTGAAACACTCGTCTGTACAATCAGAACCAACCCGGATGCATAAATCTCTTAGAAATAAAAAGGAGACCACTGGTAGTGCACCTCCTCCTGTACCCCAGAAATGAAGAACAACCTGGAAAACATACTTGTCCCTTATTACCACATGATAGCAGTTTTTCAACAAACAAAAATTCAACACCATTGTCCCAACTATCTAACCTACATCATACAAAACAAATGGATTCCCAAAAGTGATAAAGTTAAAATGAATGCACACGCTCTGAATACGATACAAACCCGAAATCGACAAGAATTTCCTTTTCTTTTTTTTCTTTCTTTTTTTCAATTGTTGTCAGGGCCTCAGGGAAGACGTGGGCAAGTCCCTAATAGGGATTCTGCCTATTATGTCAGTTGGATTTTTAAAAGATTACAGGAGGCAAAATGTGAAGTGATTACACTTTTGAATTGCTATGACAAAAGAACTTTCAAACCTACTTAATTTTGAGACCAAATAGTAAGGTAAAATGAAAATAATAAAGAATCTACGACCAGATGCTGTGCCACATATAAGCCACAGTAAACACATGAATCATGCATGTCCTGTAAATGCAAAAAACATATCAAGATTTGCCGTTCCTATGTGTCAATTCATTGGCCTGAAACATAGGGGTGGTTTGATAGATTGAAAACTAAATACTGAATATTAGTTACTAAACTCATGCAAATGTGAAATCCGAATATGAAGTTAAGGTTGGAAGATATTAAGTTCAAAGAAATAGTATTTAAGGACAAATTTGTCAGCATAGGTTTAACATGTAATCAACCTTCGACTTAACTTATTGAGAGACAAGTCCTCCTAACCTAAAATTCTGACCCTATAAGCAAGTCAACTCTAACTTTTTAAGTAATGAATGACTGATTGTTGTCAGAAACACCTTACCAAACACCCCCATAGTCATTTTCCCCATAATTCCACCATGTATCTTAAGAAAGCAAAATCTTCATCTAAATGCAAATATTGTACTGCTTTGAGCATACCTTAATATATTTCCTTAAAAGGCTTGGGAAAGCAGCCAAAAATACAGAAGAATATCTTAGACGCCGTATTGTGAATGATATCATTTCTGCATCAGTCATTTGGTTCAAAACATGTAGAGCGTTTCCAAGATATGACTTCACCAAATGGTTGTAGCTCTTCCATTGTTTCGTGCGCATGAGATCTATTATGAGCTCCTTCTTTCCTCCAGAAGGTGGGAGCTTCACTAATCCTCGAAGAATGCCATCCATTTCATTTAAAACAAATAACATTATTTTATTAAATACGCTGCTAGACATAATACTCAACTTTGTCAAAGATTCATCCCCACTATCATCCCCATAATGGCAAGCAGTGCGGAAGGCATTCATAAGAGAACGAACAGCACCTACTCTTCCATTCTCTTGAATTGAGTTGCACCATGAATCAATCATTGCACTAGTTATGACTCTTCTAGATGATTTCTCTTGCTTTTCTGCAACACTACCTATGTGTTCCACATGATGTGCATCGGTTTCTTCATCTTCTTCCATTTCCTCAACATCAATGTCAGTTTCATCATCCTCCTGCACCAAGTTCCACCATAATATTTTTTGGGTAAGTCAAGTTTGAACATCATTGAAAAGGCCATTCCAACAAAAACTAGTTAACACATAAAGTAGCTGCTAACCCACTTCAATCTCCTCATCATTGAATTCCAGAAGTTCCTTGTCATGCTCTTTTAAGAATTGATAAAACTCTGGGTCCTGTAGAAAACAATAGTTAAAAGATTTCTCTATTCAGTACAAAAGGTGTAGATAAAAGTTTGGTAACATAATTTCATATAAAGTAACCATAACTGTTGCTATTTCATGTATAAGATATTCTTATAACAGACTGTATGGTGTTGCACAACCAAGGATTAAAATTTCGTTTCAAAACGTCCGAAACATTTCAGTTTTAAAGGAGAACGAAACGAATCAGTCATAGAATCGAAATTCTAATACTTCGAATTGTTTCATTATATTTCTAGGTATTTTATAATGTTTCAATGCATTTATACAATTGTTTCAGAATGTTTCAAGATATTGCAAAATACTTTGATATATTTTGACCAATGTTTTAGAAAAATAATTCTTAAATTTTTTATTTTTTTCATTTTGTTTCTAAAACGGGTCGAAATGTTTTTGAAACATCTCCAAACGTTTCCGTTTCTTAGATGACTAAAACAATACACCGAAACTAAATTTTGATCCTTGTGCACAACTGCAGGTTTATGAGTTTTTGAGCAATTTTTAATCTAAAACTAAAATCAAGCAGTTAATTACAGCGAAAGGAGCTCTGGACCTGCTACAACAAAAAATTCCAAGCACACGCAACAGCTATTAAAACAAAGAAGATCATATTCACCATCTGAGAACAGATTAAGTTTATAGCATCAACTCAGATCATTCTCTCTTACTGCTACAGGCATCCAAGATAGCAATAATTGTAGGGGTACAGCATGAAACCAACTATGCAATATGCAAAAATATGTACAGCTCACAATATATATTTGATAAGTAACTGAAGGTGCGTATATATTGTCAGCACTTCCACATAAGCTTAGCAAAAAATTTATTTCAACAATCATGCTATGCATGATATCATCTTCTGATGACCTTGGAGACATAACATGTAGATTCTGTCCAAGATTCCTTGGGACATAGATCCAATACAAAGGCCAAAACCTTTGCCTCCCAAATGGAGTCCAAAAACTCCCCATCCACATGATCAATAAGATTTTCCAAAATCAATTTAAAAAAATTCGCCCCTTGATCCATGCGCTTAGCATTAAGCCACAAATGCAACAACTAAATTGCCTTCTTTTAACAAATGGACAATGACCTTTTAGACATTGCATGTAGATTATGTCCAAGATTCCTAGGGACGTAGATCCAATACAAATGCCAAAACCTTTGCCCCACAAACAAAGTCCAAAAATTCTTCAAAATCAATTTACACCCCCACCCCCACCACCCCCTTCTGATCCATACTCTCATCATTAGCCACAAGTGCAACAAGTAAAATTGCCTGCCTTTAACAAATGCACCTTGTGCTTCCAAAATTGTATCCCCGACAACCTCTTCACTTTCTTTTGCCAACTTTTTTCACAAAAGAGGTTACCAATGAAGGTTGTGCTGGTTGCAACTCAAACTCGAAAAGGGGCACACACACACACACAAGGAACACACGAAGTACAGGGGAAACACTACTCCACCTTATATTATTAATCAACAATACAAGTAACTCACAATTCTGGCCAAGAACTTTCTACTTCAAAATTGCTTTGGCATTGCCTATTTATACTAGGAAGATGGAAGTTGACACATCCAACTGCCTAGGGTTTACAACCCCATTAATCCAGCAGTTGCATGGACATGGCAGTTTCCAGACAGAACTGTGAAAGCCATACTAGACTACATCTCTACTTGACAGATGGCGGGCAGTTACCCCAATTCAACACCTGATTCGGTAACCACCTACAGAAGCTTGTCCATGATCAAGTTATGCCTATTAACTGCCCACAACTGCTTCCCATGATCAGGCCATGCATAGCAATTGTTCTCAACCATCCAACTCATCAATCCATGCATTGAGCATACCTGTTCCAGCCATGTGCCTGCAAATCAGTAGCCACACCTTGCCCACAACTTATCTTAACATTATCAAGCATGCTGAGCCAAGCCCAAGCCATGTCTTGCAAAGCCATGCACCAACACTGCCTCAATTGTGTCCACTATGTGTTGTCATCCTCAATCAAGCGTGGAGCTTTCAAAGCTACAAGTGCCACAACTTTTTTGGTCCCACAAATATCTCGAGTTACCCTTGCTAGTTGCTACCCTTGCCTCAACTCGGGACAAGGACCTTACTAACATGCCTTGCCCAAAGGTGCCAAGGCTCGGGGCACAAGGCTTGGCAGACCCTTGGTGCCCAAATATCACCACCCTCTTATAAATACTCTTAGAAGTATTTCCAAAATGACAAGAACAGATATCAAATGAGCCAAGGAATCACAATGACTGGAACCTTTTGTCGAACTTCTTACCTACTTCACCTACTTCAAAGTTATGGAGTGCCTTGGTGCAAGGGGTCATCAAGACACATTCATTTCCACCCAACTCAATTAAGGGGTCTTACACCTAATCTCAAAGGTAACACCTTTTCAAGTGTTTTATTCAGACTCATTACCAAACAAATTGGCATAAAGTCAAAAATTCCAAAATAAAAGTAGCATTAGTATTGTATCTATAACTCCACTTTGAAAAAATTCAAAGAAACCCTCAACAAATCCCCAACAATCTTGAAAAATAGTTGCATATTCATTCGCACCTCGAGTTTTATCCATGCACTCAAAACCTATAGATCTATTTTTAAATTTTTTGGCTTTGTTTCTCATTTTTGTTGTGCAACCATAGATCGTATTCCCTCTTCAACAAATGGTCTTTCCAACCCTCCTACTTTCAAATAAGACTCCACATTAATCCTACCAATCTTAGCCCTTCAATGTCTTGAGATGAGTAGAGATTTGCAAAGAAATCAGCAACTTCCCTCTCAATGCAAGTTTCATCCTCAATCACCACTTCACTTTTTTTGGGATAAGAAACAGAACTATTTATTGATAATGTGGGATTACATAAAAGACGAGAGTTGGACAAGTCGCCAAACCCAAGTTAGTTTTAACAACAAAAAAACAAGAGTCATGAACAATAATAGTAAAATCAGTGTAAAGGGCACTTCAAACAACATATGAAATCCAACTATAAATTACATGAAGTTCTCCATTCTGTCATAATGCAAAATAAGGGAGTGCCATCAAAATTCTTAGAAATTGAAGCCCAAAACAATGCAAAAAAATATATCCACTCTCATAATCCATGCAACACTTCATACACATTCAAAGATCCCCACATTTCTTTCCAACCAAGTAACACAAGTTTGTGACAAGAAACACACAATTTCAAAGAGTAATTCCTTTCTTCTTCAATCAAAAACCCCCACAGTCCACTATGAGAATAGATATATGGAACAAGAGCAACCCAACTCATTCTGCCAAAATGCAATAGGGGAATGCAAAAATAAATGACCCACATTTTCATTATCACATCGGCACATATCACTCCATTGCAAAGAAAGACAAACAAGAGGTCTTCTCCTTTGAAGCATGTCATTGTTATTAATTGTTCCATGAGCAATAATCTATTCACAAATTTGCACTTTAATGGGCACTTTTGTGTTTTGCCATCTATATCACCAAAATGGAACAAGAAACGGACATAAAAGACCAATCAATGACAATTACTACTCCACATTCAATTTATCAACAACCTTATTCTACATCTGCTAATTAGCCTCTCTACGTAAAATTCTCGAATTATTATTTCCCTCCTTAATCTAATTAACCATTGTTTTTTGCCAACAACTAATTTCTTCCTTCAACACCAATTGCTCAAATGTATTCCTCATATCACAGCTCTCTTTCCCTAAATTGTTATCTAACCCAACCCAGTCCATCTAACTCCCCAATTCTATTCTACATTAAGCACTTTGCGATCCTTAAACCCCCAATCATTACTTCATTACATCTTTTCAAATTTGGTACAACAAAGTCTAACTTTTTCATAAAATTAAAACCCTTATAACACTAACTTTTTATTTTTCCCTCATAAGAATGATACCCTGGCCAGTATTTTAAAATCTAAAAGGCACAAGTCCCCATCTAAAAGGAGATGTCTCCAAGACAATAAAACAATAGGAGTACAACTTGGGCGGGTTGAGGGATTAACCCTAACTCAACTCTAGGTTTAAAATTTTCAACCCTAACTCTAACCCTAACCCAACTTCAACCTAAAATACACAACCTGATCATTGCCCGAGTTGATTTCAAGAAAGCTTGAGTTGAAATCGGGTTAACCAATTTGGGTTGGCAATTCGGACTCAACAAACAATAATCCTAAATTAAGTGTAAGCCTTAGCACAATGTTGAACTATTACATGGGCCTACACGACCCACTAAGATGAAATCCATCAAAATAACTTATTAAGGGTGTAAATGTTAGCTTTCTTTATATAGGAAAGAGGGAAAAGGTCACTTGAGTTGTCTATCCAATGTGGGATGACAACTCTTTTTTTTTTTTTGCCTTTTTTACATTGGTTGTGTAAACTTGTTTCACCATCTATAGTCCTTATAAATTACGTTTCACTCTCCCATCAAATAATAATCAAATATGTATTTATATTTTATTGTTATATAATATAATACATGAATTTGGATTGTACTCGAGTTGGGTTCGAGTTAAACCTATGAATCCGAGCTGTTAACCCGAGCCTTGTCCGAATTCAATTTGGGTTAATGCTTTTCAACCCCTAATCCTAACCCTAACCCTAAAAACCTCAACCCTAACACTGTTTTTTCGGTTGGGTTCGAGTTGAATTTGGGTTAGCCCGCCCCAGTTGCACCCCTATAAAACAACAATTAGAAACCACCCTAACAAGTGCATCTAGACTATGTAAACACACCACTATTTTATTGTAAATTCCTCAAATCTGTTTTCTTAATAAATAAATCAAAGTCTCTCAGATTCTAGCTACCTTTGTTCTATTCAACTTCTCATTTGCATGCCTAGTCGCATTAACATCGCCTCCTAAACACCATTTATGGATAGACAAACCAAACAACCTTGTTAATTCTTCCCATAATAACTTCCTCATTCTTGGCTTAAATGGA